CTGCGTTGGCAGAGGAAGCAGGTTGATGACAAACTTTAAAAGAGATCTGATCCGCGGGCCGGGGATGCTCCCAGAGGCTCGGCCGGGAGCCGCGAGAGGCGAAGCGGGTCCAGCGAGGTCCCCACTCCTTGTCCCGTTGGCTGAGAGTACTTCTGCCCCCGGATCAGATCTCTTTTAAAGTTTGTCATCAACCTGCTTCCTCTGCCAACGCAGAAGACTGCAAAGATGCAAATATTTGTAGAAGTCAAGTTTAGTATTGTTTCGGCGTTATACATTCAGGGAGCGGACCTTTTCCGTGGTCTGTGTCATTTGTCCCCAGTGGGGACAAAAAGGTGTTTCGGTGACTAAACACGCTCTTAGCGGAGTCACTTTAAAGCAGAGTTTAAGATCGCTGGTGACTCCAAGTACCGACACTGCTGTTTGTGCTCCCTGGGGAGCACGCCCGAGGCCCCCTGAGGGCTGAGCCACATGGCCCAGCTGCAGCTTCAACACCTTATGAGGAGAGACAGCCCATAAAAGAGAGCACAGAAGTCTAAATGTACCCTTTTCTTTTTTTCTTTTTTCTTTCTTTTTTTTAATTTTTAATTGAGGGCACGCGTTGCCCGTGATTCAATCAATTAAGCAATTGCAGTAAATCAGTGAGATAAATACAAATAACACGAGGCTACGGCTTTGGGCTAGTCAGGGTTAGCAATAAGAGTAGGCTAGTATGAGTGGGTTTAAATGCTGGGACAGCATCACCTAGAGAATCAGGATGTGTGGTAGAAAGCAGCTGCTAAGAGCATTTCCCCCTCCCCTTTAAGTGTGTTCACTAAGGTGCCGTGGTGATGCTGTTGGTCAGCACAGCCCCGTACCTGTGCGAGGGCGGCTGAGGAGGATGGCAGCAGGGCGGGGGTGGAAGGGCGGCTGGTCAGGGTAAAGCTGGTCCCGGTGTGGGGTCTGCGTGCAGCAACCTTCGGGAGAGGAGAGCCATGGGGTGTCCGGATCAGCAGGCAGTAACCCCACCAGGACCGCAGTCCAAGGGCTGGCTGCCTGCCCCTGCTCGTGGCCTCCTCTGCCTGCACAGCTTCAGGGTCTGCCTGTCCCTTGCCATCCCATCTGCATGTGGATCTCACAGGGTCTAAAGGAGCCGGGCAGGCAGCCGGGAGCCCTCGCTGTGGCCGCTGAAGGGAGAGCCTCTGCCGGGAGCCGCCCTGCCGTGTTTTCCCCCGGGTGCGGGGACAGCTGCCTCTGCAGCCTTGGTGTCCCCACAGGACTCGGCTGTGGATGGTAGAGCAGCCCCGGCTCTCTGGGGGTATCCAGGATACAAATTTGAAGGGGCTAGAGGGGACCTGGAGGTGTTCGGGGAGTGGGCAGGAGCCGCACCATGGGGCTGGGGAAGGAGCGCAAGGGCTGAAAGAACAGAAGTGCCCTGTCGCAGCCCTCGGAGGGTGAAACCCGTCCCTGGAGGGGACCCTCGTGGATGACACCCAGGGATGGGCTGGCATGGTCGAGGCCCAGCAGGCTCACTTAAGAATCATGCAAATACTTCCGTAAAACGGCTTAAAGCGGCAGAAGGACAAGTCCTGCGGGCACCTGGGCGTCCTGGGGGACACGGCGCTTTGGGAAAGGCATGCGTCAATTTAGCCCTGGTGTTGACTTAAGCGAAAGTGCTAAGCCATTCCTAAACCTAAGTCAATACAGACTTAAGCCAAAATTGTTATTAACGAGCTCTAATCTGATTTAAGAGCCTCGGAGCGAGCCGTGTGTGCACGACGCGCGTTGCCTTGCGCTGCCCGGTGCCCGGTGCCCCGGGCGGGTCCAGCGGGAGGGGCCGGGCGAATGCAGGCCCTGGGAGAAGGATGGGGTTCGGGGAGAGCCGGGCCAACGTGATTTGGGCAGATCTCCCTCCGCGGGTTAACTTCTTAAAACTGTACCCAGCTTTGGGACGGTTCGGGTGTGTGCAAGCGCCTCCGGGCCGGGGCTGCCGGGCCCCCTGTGCCGTGCCCGCCCGGAGTGGGGAGCGCCGAGGGCCAGCAGCTCCGCTCGCTCCGAGAGGGACATGCCAGTGCATTTCTTCCCCCGTCCCAATGGGGCAGTTGAGCCCTCCACTCCACCCCTCACTGGGGGCCTTTCTTTTCTTCCCCACCAGCTTTGAGCAGCGCTGTTTCAGATTGGCCTTTTTATGTTTGATATAAAGA